GATGGAGGACTGATGTCAACTGGCAGTATTTGCACAGTTGAATCGAATGGTAGAAAGTCTTGTGTCGAAGGGGACCAGCTAAACTGTGACTTAAAATGTTCTGCTCAACGTTCAAGACGAAGTTCCTGAATTTGAATCAGTGTGCCGTCAGACTCCTTAATTACCTCACTTGCGCCTTCTTTCCTTGGTCCTGTAATCCTAATTAAATGGTTGTAAAAACTGAACTGAACTGAATATCTGTGGGTTTTTCTCTCTCTCTCTCTCTATCCTTTAACGACAACCGGTTAGTTGTGACTCTTTCGAATTCCAAAATTTTAGGTAGATAAAAAGCACGATTGAGCACAAAGGCTTTCAATAATTTTATCCCTCAATTAATCCATTTATTCACGTATTGATGTCGTTTATGTGTTCGTCGTTGAACGACATCCCGTGTGGTTGAACAATAGAGTGATTAAATCATTCACCAAAACAGCGGTTTTACACTTGACGAAACACGTTGAATGCAATTGTGAATTCGGACTCCTGAGCGCGATTAATCGTTGATAAATCAGATAAGCAAAAGCAATTAGATGTTGATCTTTCAGATTCCTGCTCCCCTTCCCCTGCGAACTCGGCATGAGAGTGATTAAAAGCTGTCCTGGTCTATCTGAGTGATTCACACACATACCACAAGTTTGCACATTAAATTAAGAAGTCCTTGTGAATTTCACCTTAATTTCACACCAAGTGATTTGTCTGAAGAAATTAAATTGCATTTATTATCCCTGTGAATGGAAATGGGGGAAAAGTTTGTAAATGACTGAGTTGTTATCAGCTTAATTTCAGTCCCCGCATTAAGTTTTCGCCATATATGTTTATTTGAACCATCGAGTACTACTGAGTACTACTGAGAATCAGTCTCTTTATACACTGGAGGCCTAGCCGCTTTGTTACGATGTAAACAGCCACGGTGTTGAAATACAAGTGAACTATTATTCTGCTGATACGACGCGGGGGGGGGGGG